CCCGCCTCTGTTTCGATTTGGCGGATGCGGCCCCGGCTTCCTCCAAGTTTTCCCGTAAAGAAAAAGGTGCCATCAAAGCCTTGATTTGTCAGGCTGTGTGGCCGCTCAGCCGTGCAGCCGCCCTCGGCTACTGTGTAGATGACGAGTGCTATCTGTGCGGCCAGGTAGGAGACACGATGCTGCATAGGCTTTGGTTCTGTCCTGAACGCGAGGAAGATCGAGTGGAGATTGTTGGTGAGCCTCTTCTCGCCAAGATTCGCGCGGAGCTCTCGGCAGACCCCAGTCCGAGCTGTAAGTTGGTCTGCGAGACGGGCCTTTTCCCGCGCCCGTCCCTGTGGGCTCCAGGCCCCCTGTCCCAGGAACAAGCCCTGGGCAGCGTTGTGTTCCAGGTCTTCCCTGAAGCTTACCAGGCTGAGGGGTTGCCAGTTCCTTCCGAGGGGGTGGGGGCTTTAGGAGGGGACCTCTACACGGACGGTTCCTGTTTGCGGTCGTCGATCAAGGATCCTTCCCGCTCGGGGTGGGGAGTTGTGAGTCTTGGTCCTTCGGGTAAGATCCTTGCTCACATGTACGGCGCGCTGGGCAGCTTTTTCCCCCAGACGTCTGTTGCTGCGGAGTTCGCAGCGCCAACTAGTGCCGCCAGCCTCCTAACCAGTGCTTCGGACATTTTCAGCGATTGTGCCGCCGTCGTTGGAGAATACAGCAAGCCTTTTGTCGAGTGTCTGTCGCCTCATCGGCCCTACAGCGGGTTGGTTATGCAGAGCTATGCGTATGCGAATAACATGCTGCGCTCGGTCCAGAAGGTCAAGGCCCACAGAGCGGACGACCCTGATCTTTCGGACCTGGAGCGCCGACACATTATTGGGAATAACGCTGCCGACGAGGCGGCAAAAGTACGTGCGCGGTTGCATGAAGATTTGAATGCTGACGATCGTGTGAATCTCAACCACGCGATCCGCACGGCAAAGGCCGTCTTCAAATTAGCTGCAAAATTGCTCGAGCGCTGGCCCAGGACCAACCTCGAAGGTGTGCCTCGTGCGGAAGCTCCGCCGAGAGTCTCCAAGCCTGCCAGCCCGTCACACCAGTGGGCCTGGGTAGGCCGATTTTGGCAATGTCCGAACTGCTTGCGCTGTTCCCGCAAGCAGATGAAGCCCGCTCCTGGAGTGTGCACGCGCCAGCTCCGAATCGATCCTGTCGAGTTGCGAGCCCTCGGACACAGCTGCATTGTGATTGACTTCGACGACCACAGTTTTGCCTGTGTGTGTCGCGCCTGTCACGCTTTCAGAACTGGAGGCCAGCTGCGACGCTTGTCCAAGACTTGCGTCGGCCACCCTCCAGACCGCAGCGAGGTTTTTTCGCGGCTCAGCAAGGGGCTCCATCCTGACCACAAGAGGAAAGGGGCCAGAGCTGACTGCGAAACCATTTGCCCCATTTAGTTGGGGTTTGAGGCAGCGGATGTCAAAAAATCGTCCTCCCCCTCCTCCTCCTCCTCCTCCTCCTCCTCCTCCTCCTCCTCCTCCTCCTCCTCCTCCTCCCCCTCGCCGTCCCTCGCCTTCCCTCGCCGTCCGGAGGCGCGGGCCCCGCCGCGGCGGCCCGCGCCGCCCCGCGGCGGCCGTCGGGGCTCTTTCCGAAACGGGGGCGCTTCTGGGCGGCGAGCGAGGGAGGGGAAGGGAGAAGACGAGCGGGCCGTGCCAGAAGGCTCGGGAGTCCCCCGCGGCGGCCGTCGGGGCCCCTTCCGACCGGCGACGCTTCTGGGCGGCGAGCGAGGGGGGGGGAAGGGAGAAAACGAGCGGGCCGTGCCAGAAGGCTCGGGAGTCTCCTGGCCTTCTGCACGAATTTCTGAGCATTCCCCGAAGACGCTGGAGAAACCGCTCCGAAGGCCGGAGGGCTTTCTGAGAAACCCCGCTGCTTTCTGAGAAGGTCTTCTCTTTCTCACTTCCCCCCCTGGCTCGCCGCCAATACTCTGGAGGCCAGGACGTCTCGAGGGAAGAATCACGGGGACCATGACTGAGACGTCGCGGGATCTGGTCGATGCCGATCTGTGTCATGGTCCATGTCGGCCGTCGCCGACTCGCGAGGGTGATCCACGAATCGACGCGGAACCGAGATCGGCGGTGACCAAGATCGGCACGACGTCTCCGCGGTCAGTCGTGTTCGTGGTCCCCGCTCTCTTCCCCTCCGACGTTGGCGCGCGCGAGGAAAGTGCAGCCGTGGGCCGAGACATGGTCCATCCCCTTCAGATCCCGGCGTCCTCGGTTCTCCGAGCCAGCGTTCTCGCCGGGATTCGGGGCCCCAGGAGCCTCACAGTTCGGTGTGGCTCGCAAACATTACGCAGAAAGGCGGGGTCCAAGGTTCGGGTCGTGACTTTCCTCAAGGTTGTATTTGTTCCTCCGCCGTCGGATCTCAGGGTTCTTCGTTCCCTCCAGGTGTCATGGACGCAGCCATGAGGAAGCCACAGACAGTGATTCCCACGATGGAGCACTCGCAAGTCTGACGTACAATGCGTGCCGAGGGCTCGCAACACATCACAGTCACCTACACGTTGCCGGGCCATTATGGCTTGTGGCCAATCCATGCTTTCAGCGCGCGCACATCAGAGTCGGCCGAACGGTCATTCACTGTCCCTGGGTGTTTGGCTGAAGTGGGATTCCGCGTTGTAGATAGTTGTGACGTTGTTGAACTCTCATGACTGAAGAATAACTATGGTTGCTCCCCCCCTCCTGGGCACATTTTGTTTGTCCAGTGAAGTGCACTTCCCAGGGCTCGCACCCTGTGTTTTAACAAGGGAAAGTCTTGGGTCTCAGAATTGTATCTTTGGCCCCCGGTTTACAACAACAGGGCATCCGCCTGATATTTCATTCACAGATTATTGAAGAATCGCGCTCTCGCTGGAGACTTGCTTGCACTGTATACAGGAATCGTGATCTCGCGTGGGACTTCTTCGCAATTTATGCAGACGCCGCGCCCTCGACACTCAGGATGCACGCTCTCGCTGTGGATTTTGTCGCGATGCTTTTGGGAATCGCGCTATCACTGGAGACTTCCTCGCGATTCATGCAGGTCGCAGGCTTCAGCAACCCGCCTGCTCGACCTGGCCGCCTTGGCCCGCCTTCCCGACCCGCCGGTTAGGGTCAATCTGCCCTTGTGGTCTTGCCACGTGTTTCCTGCTCCTAGCCCCCCTCCTGCTACCATCTCTCGTGCTCCATGCTCCTCCCTCCCCCTTGTCCCTTCCTTCCATCCGTCATCTCTTCCCCTGCCTTAGGGGGGCTGCACAAAATACACGTTGCAGGTAAAAGAAGATATACCCCCATGACCCCAAGTGGGTACGGTCGAAGACGAAGAGGGCGGAAATCGAGGGGTTTATGATATACGTGTTGACTGGCACGCGAGCAGGTAAGGGCGGTCTTCAATGTATTGTTGTTGTTGGTTGTAATGTTGTTGCTGTTTTTGTTGCTGCTGCTGCTGTTGTTGCTGTTGCTGTTGTTGCTGTTGCTGTTGCCGTTGCTGTTGCTGGTGTGGTTGTTGTTGTTGGTGGTGTTCTTGTTATTCAACGTTTATTGTTCAAGAATATGGATTGTTGATCTCCCCCTCCAGGGCACAGTGTGTTTTTTCAATTGAAGTGCCCTTCCCGGGGCTCGCACCGTGTTGTTCTATAAGGGAAAGTTTTAGGTCACAGACTTGGACCCCTGGCCTTCGAGTTGCAACAACGGCTCCCGCCGGATATTTCCTCAGAATGTCTTCCCAGACGCGCTCTCGCGCGGGACGCCCTCACAATGCGTGCAAACATCGCAAGCTCGCGCGGGACCTCCCCGCAATTTATTCAGACGCCGCGCCCTCGACACTCAGGAATCACGCTCTCGCTGTGGATTTCTTCACGATTTATTCGGGAATCGCGCTGTCGCTGGAGACCTCCTCACGATTCATACAGGACGCACACTTCAGCAACCCGCCTGCTCGACTGGCCGCCTGGGCCCTTCTCCCCGACCCGCCTGTTAGGGTCTACCCGCCCGATTTGCCCGTCTGGTTCTGCCCCTTGTTTTCTGCTCCTGGACCTCCTGCTATTTTCTCTCGCGCTCCATGCTCCTCCCTCCCCCTTGTCCCTTCCTTCCCTCCGTCCTCTCTTCCCCTGCCTTAGGGGCTGCGCGAAATACACGTTGCAGGTAAGAAAGATATCCCCCCCAGGGGGTACGGTCGAAGACGAAGAGGGCGGGCATCGAGGGTTTGGGATAGACGTGTTGAATGACACGCGTATAGATAGGGGCGAACAGTCTCAAAACGATTGTTGTTGTTATTGTTGTTGAGGTCGTTGTTGTCGTTTTTGATATTTCACTCTTGAAGAACAGTTTTTGTTGAACCCCCCACCGGTGTAATTTGTTTTTTCAATTGACATGTCCCTCTCGGGGCTCGCACCCTGTTCTATAACAGGGGAAGTCTTGCTGCTCAAACTGTGGTTTTGCCTCCCGGCTACATCAAGAACGGCTCCCGCCTTATTTTTCTTTCGCAAATCATGACAAGAACGCGCTCTCGCGTGGGACTTCCTCACAATGTGTGCAGGAATCGCGCTCTCGCGTGGGATTTCCTTGCAACTTATTCCGACGCCGCGCCGTCGACATTCAGAAATCGCTTTTCTCACGGTTTACTTGAAAAATGCGCTATCATTCGAGATTTGCTCGCGATTCACGCAGGACTCACGCTTCGGCACCCTGCCTGCTCGACCTGGCCGCCTGGGCCTGCCTTCCCGACCCGCCCTCATAGCTGGCGCAGACATCTTAAATCATGATTTTCATGAGCATGTTTTGGCTGTGCGATGATGATGTTGATGATGATGATGATGATGATGATGATGATGATGATGATGATGATGATGGTGATGATGGCGATGAGGCTGCTGATGCTGATGCTGATGCTGATGGGGAGGAGGAGGAGCAGGAGGAGGAGGAGGCAGATTAAGAGGAATGCAGTCTCATGGGGCACCTTTCGTTTCCACTTTGTGGGGGGCCCTCATGGAGCTCGTGTGGGCCGCCTTCGGGCTGTTGTGGCCGTTCGCTGGCGCACCCAGCTCGGCATAGCATCGTCGTGCACAGCCGGCTTTTGGTTCGAGGGCCGGCATCGAGTCAAGAGCCAGTGCTTCGGACAATTTGCCGACCCAGCGGGAGGCGGCCCACGGGCCGCCTCATTTCCAGCGTCAGGGAATCCGTCGTAAAGAATCCGTCTTCAGGAATCCTCTAATAAAGGGCCCACAATTGGAAGCTCGTAAGAATGGATCCACAGTAAGGTACTTGTCGCGAAGGAACCCATGGTGAGGAATCCCTTCAGAAGGTCTCCATGGTAAGGAACCTCTCAATGATGCGTCCATATCAAGGATCCGAGGCTCGCTCCTCGAGCCTCGGATCGCGACCCCGAGATCTTCCAGTCCAAGCTTAGCGACCCTCGGATCTAGGACCCAAGGTGCCCGAGTATGTTCGGATTCATGATCTCGGATCATCGGTCCGAGGATGCAGGATCGAGCCTGCTTGGTTCCTTGATGATTGGTCGAGGATCACTCGGCGAGAGGGTGGTAGTAGCACCCCACAGCTCGGAACGCCACTCGTGCGTGCTCGAGCGCTCTCTTGGAGTTTGAAACGCAGATGGGGCTCGAGCGCGTGCCTCAACGGCACCCTCATAGCGGGGCGCTTGGCTCGGGGAGCTCGTGCGCTCAGGTTTCCACGAGCATGAACGAGGCGGGGTCTGACTCGGCCTTCGCGTCGGCCTGGCTCCGCTCGTCATCGCGCTTGTTCAGCTTGTCGTATCCGGCCTGGATCGACGCATATTTCTCGAAGTGCACCTTGATGTGGTTCTCGAGCAGTACCTGCTCGTGCTTCTGCTGCTTGACGGTTTTCGAGTATTCCAGCTTGGCGCGCTTGTCTTGGTAGCGGTGCTCGTGCAGCTCGTAGCTCATGACCGCGTTTGTCTCGATGTTCCAGCGCCACTTGATGATGGCCGGGGTCGTAGCCTTAGCGACCCCGTCGTTCGACGTCGAGACCATGGAGGTCTCGCTGCACCACTTGACGTAATCTGGGGCCCTGAGCGGAATCACGTTGAAGAGCCTCTCGGCACTCTCGGCGGGCATCTCGCGCAAGTGCTCGACGGGCTCGAACTTCTTGTTGCTCGGCAGCACTAGCTCGTGGAGGTGGAGGAGCTCGGCGGGGGTTCTTGGGAGGGCTGACCTGATGCGCTCGGTGTAGGAGCCGTGGGCCAGCTTCTCGAGTTTCTCGGCGCCGAGCTCCATGTCTCTCTTCTTGGCGTGCTCCTCCAGCTTGGCCTTGGAGCTCGGCATGAGCCAGAAGAGGTCCTCGGGCGGCTCTCCGTGGTTCTCGAAGATGTCGCTCACGTGCTCGCTCTTCTCGACGCAGGTCTTGAAGAGCACCGCCACGGCCAGCTCGATGCGCCTCTTGTCCTTCTCGTTGAATATGTGGGTGTGCCCGATGCTCCTGTGGCACCCGCCTTGGCAGACCATCTCCAGGACGGCTTGCTGGGCGCTCGACGACCACATGGCCGACTCGGCCTTGAAGTAGCAGCTCGTCATGCGAGCTGCGTCCGTGCCCGGCGCGCTCCATTGGCATTGCCTCATTTCGGCAATACTGAATTTCTCGGAGATGTAGCTCAGTTTCTCGATGATCTTCTCGTTCTGGTTGGCCATGCGCTCGAGAATTTCGTTCGAGCTCGGGCTCGGCGCCGCCGCGTGCTTCAGCGCCTCGACGGGCAGGCTCGCGGCAACTGCGCGCTCGGCCGGATGGGCCGTCGCTGGGGCTCGCGACGCAGTGAGGGGCAACGATGTGAGGGGATAGGCAATGGGGGGGGGACGTCGACCTGGAAACGGCGATACATCGCCGACGCATCGGCGATGCGCGCCCGATACATCGGCGATGTATCGCAGATTCCAGGTCGATGCCCCCCCCCAAAAAAATGCCGATGCATCGACGATACATCGCCGATGCATAGGCATGGCCATATCCCCCTATCGCTGCCCCTGGGGCGAAGAGGCTCGGCGCCTCGAAGAAACTCGAAAGCTTGGCGTCTCGGAGACTCGGGGAAGCTTGGGCCTGGGCAGCTGCGGGGGCAGGGGGGAGGAGGAGGAGGAGGAGGAGGAGGAGGAGGAGGAGGAGGAGGAGGGAGGAGGAGGAGGAGGAGGAGGAGGAGGGAGGAGGGAGGGGGGAGGAGGGGGAGGGAGGAGGAGGACGAGGACGAGGAGAGGAGAAGAGGAGAAGAGAGAAGAGGAGGAGGGAGGAGGAGGAGGAGGAGGAGGAGGAGGAGGAGAGGAGGAGGAGCAAGAGGAGGAGAAGCAAGAGGAGGAGAAGCAGGAGGAGGATGAGGAGGAAGAGCAAGAGGAGGAAGAGCAGGAGGAGGAGGAGGAGGAGGAGGAGGAGGGGGAGGAGGAGGATTGGCCATTTTGGCAGGGATCTGCACTCGGCGAGTGCTGATCACTACCCAAACGTCGTTCTGACGTTTACGCCACGTTCGTAGTGCATCCCATGGCCTTGCCGCACGGCCGTAACGTGGGCAAACGGAACTGGTGAGAATCCCACAACCCTGCCACACGCTCGTGATTGCGGAAGCTGGTGTGGTGAGATCACCATGGCCATGCTCAGCATTTTTGATGCTGTTGCGAATCAGCGTGATATGATAGCAACATCGATCCCCGCAACTTTTCCGTGGATTATGAAGTTCGGCCTCCGCGCCTTCCCCACAGATAAATCCCTGCGGGCGGGGATCAAAAAATAGAGGGGGTTACGGGGGGGCGCCCATTTTATCGCCCGCACTCGTCTACTTCCTCACAGTTTATTGAGAAATCGCGCTCTCGCGCGAGACCTCCTCACGATTAATGCAGGAATCGCGCATTCGCGTGGGATGTTTCCGATTTAGTCAGACGCCGCGCTGTCGACACTCAGATATCATGGTTACGCGATGGATTCCTAACGATTTACTTGGAAAACGAGTTATCGCTCGAGATTTCTTCGACAACGCTTCGGCAACCCGCTCGACCTGGCCGCCTGGGCCCGCCTTCCCGACCTGCCCGTCGGGGTCTCCTGTCAGGTGACTAGTTTTGATGTTTTTTTTTTTTTGTCTGCCTCCAGCTGGGTGTGGTTTTAGGCGACGTCTGGCCGGCAAGTTATACACCTCCAACTTGCTCCAATTACTTTATCGACTTTTGGCCGAGGCCGTCAACGGCATAGGCACCGTGTCGCCATCAACAGCAACAAGGATCTACCCGCCCGGTTTTCTCGTCTGGTTCTGCCACGTGTTTTCTGCCCGTAGCCCCCCTCCTGCTACCCCCTCTCGTGAACACGTTGCAGGTAAGAAGGATATACCCCCAAGCGGGCACGATCGAAGACGAAGAGGGTGGGTATCGAGGGTGTGGGAAACACGCGTTGAATGGCACGCGAGTAGATGAGGGCAAACAGTCTTAAAATTACTGCTGTTGTTGTCGTCGTCCCACTCGCGACCCACCCGCGATTCACCCGGTACCCTCCCACGACCCGACCCGCCACCCACCCGCGACCTACCCGCGACCCGCCAGCCAACCGCCGGCGACCCACCCCGCGCCCGCCTTGCCCGCAACTGCGGGGTGCTACATTTTCGGGCGAGGTGGACCCTCAGATCCTGGCCTTTGCATTTTTTGTCACAGCGGTCGTCTTCGCCGGGTTTCGGACAACGGGGCCCTCACAGGTCGATCCGGCTCGTCCAATTGCACCAGGCTGTGCTTTTCTGCGGTGCGGCAATTTTTGTGCAGCGCCGGAGGACAGGGGATTCCCAGAACGTCGTGGCTAGGAGTGTCTCTGGAGGGAAAGCACAGACATAAAGGGTCGTCGATTTCCAGCAGAATATGGGAAAGTAATCATGGGAAGTGGGGGGGAAACGAAAGTCAAGAACGTGTGAGAAAATATGGGGGATCCTGGGACCTGTGCTGATTTCTTGTTTGGGTCCCTGGGCCCCGTCCGTGTCTTGGCCAGAGGGCCCCGAGGCTGGCACTGCTCGCGCAGGGCCGGCTGCGCCGCGCTGGGCGGGGCCATCGCCGGGCTGCTCGCCGCCCGCTGCACCGTGGGGCCCGGCGCGCCGTGGCCGCGGCGCCGCGGCCGCGGCGGCGCCGGGGCTTCGCCGGAGCTGCGGCGCGGCGCCGCGCCCGCGGAGCCACAGGAGCGCTGGGCGGCGAGACAGGCGGGGGGGGGGGGGCACAAATTGGAGGGGCAGCGAGGGCTGCCAAAGAGAGGACCCTTTCGGGCCCCCCCAGAAAAGGAGGCCCTTTTTGGCCCAGAAGAGAGCCACCCTCTGGGGCCCGAATTGGCGCCCAGCGCGCCCGCGAAGCCACAGGAGCGTGCTCCTTAGCAGGTCATCGAGAACATAAGGACCGCGAACCCCGGTAGCACGATGAAGGCGTGGCCTCATTTAGGTTCTCGGCGCCCTATCGATTGGTTCTCGGTGGCGGTGGTCCATAGAGGAGGGCGCGTGGTAAAGCTTCGGGTTGCGCAGCGACAGCGCTGCCAGGTAGTCCCGGCTGGCCTCAACAAGCCCTCCGAGCAGAGGCCAGCCAGGATCACCTGGGGAGGCTGTCTGCGCGCAGCCCGAAGCGTTGCCACCTAGGAGCGTGCTTCAGAGGAGGGCGAGTGGCGAGTGCCATGAGATCAGCTGGCATCCCAATTTTATCGCGCCAGGCGCTTTCGCCCAACATTGGGGCCCCGTGGCCCTCACAGATCGATCCACCTCGAAAAAGGCAACGGTCGTGGGCCTTCGAGGAGCGCCTCGTCGCCACGGCTGGACGCAGCTCGGAAATTATTGCACCCGAGGGTTCTCGTCTGAGCCCGTTCTGCGTCTGAGCCCGTTCGGCCGCCGAACGGACTCCAAGATCGAACCCGTTCGCGGCAGAACGGGTTCAATCCTTACAAACCTGTCGGAATTGCGCTTGCGGCCGAGCGGGCTCAGACTCCGAGCGGGCTCAGAAGGGAGCTCTGGGGCGTTTGGACCCTGGGAGTGGTCTGGGGACCGATCCGATGCGGCCCGATGCTTGCATGGCGCCGTTTCGATTCGATTTCGATGCCGTGCTGAGGCGGCCCGAGCCGACGCACTTTGTTTACCATCCATAAGGAGCGCGGCGGCAAGAACGGCCGACAACAGAGCGCAGAGAAGCCGGAAGAGGCAGAGGAGGAGGGGAGGAGGAGGACCGAGGAGGCAAGGCAGCGCGCCCCGGCGAGCGCGCGAAGCAACTAATACAACTAACTAGTCTGGCGCGCCCGGGCGCTCCAGCAGGCGCCGCCGCACAGCCGCCGACCACGCCGCCTCGCGGCCCCCGGCGCGCGGGGCATCCAGGAGCAGCAGGCTGGCCGCCCGCGGGGGCAGGAGCGGCGCCCATCCGCTGCACGGACGGCTCGCGAGGCGCTCCCAGCCCGGGGCCCAGCACCCGCACGCCAGGCAGGCCACCCAAGCGGGCCCTTAGGAGGCGACGTGTCCCCGCCAGGCGCTGCCGGCGAAAATCGCCCTCGCCGCGACGGCCGGCCCTGGGCCCAGCGCCGCGCGCGCTGGCCACTACCGCAGCATCGTCCGCGACGCGGGGCGCGCGGCGGCGGCGATGCCCCGCCTGCGTCCAGCGCCGCCGCACGCGCGGGCCTCCAGGGCCGTGCCCGTGGTTGGCCTTGAGCGCCGCAAGCTCCACTGCGGCGAGTACGCGCTGTACGGCCGTGAGCGCGTCCAGCTGCCGCTCGAGCTCCTGGCGCAGCACCAGCGGAGGCAGCCGGGCCTCGGCAGCCAGCCCCGCGAGGCGGTCCGCCGCGGCGTTGCCGGAGCGGTCCTCGGGCGACACGCCCCGCTCCTGCGCCTCCGCAGCGTCAAGGTGTCCCTTGACCCATCGCGCGGCCAGCGCGCCGCTGCGGCAGTGAGGGACGATCAGCTCCCACAGTTCTGCGTGGGCCCAGTCCTCGGGGGACGCCCCTGCCCTGATCGCCGCGGCGCCTTTGCTGACGAAGCGTGAGTCGGTCACTACCTCGACGGCCCCGCCAGCCAGGTTGACTGCATGCACCGCCGCTGTGAGCTCGGCGCGCTGCACGGTCTGCGCGCCGTCGACCGGCCCTCGGTGCTCCTAGCGGCCCGCGCCCTGGTCCAGCACCACCCCCCACCTGTTCTGGCGAGGAGGGGGTCTATGGGGTGCGCGCAGCCGCCGTCCGTCCAAGCGCGCGCACGGGGTGTCTCGGCGGCAGGGGCCGGCATGGTTGGGCGCGGCAGCGGCCACTGCGCCTGGTCCGCCAATGCAGCCAGCTGCGGGTGCTGGGGCACCAGCACCAGTCTGGTGAGCGACGACTGGGCCGGCAGTCGCGCGCGGGCCGAGGCGCGCGTGAGGCCCTCAGGAACCAGCGCGCCGGCGCGCACGGGTTCCCAGCAGGGGCATGCCCAGAAGCTGTGCTCGAAGTCGTCGCGCGCCGCGCCGCAATGCGGGCATGCCGCAGGGCGCCCCCATTTCGCCGCCACCGCCTCCGTGACGACGTTGCCGGGCTCGCGGGCCGCCCAAGCTCGGAGGAGTGCCGCACGCGTGTCGGGCAGGGCGCGGTCAGCTGGGCGCCAGCCGCCAGGCGAGGTGGCCACCCCAGTCCAGCACTCGACGTCGGCCCAGCTGCAGCTCCGCCATGCTCCGGCCGGGTCGCCGCGTCCATTGGGCCAAAGCCGCGGCCGTGCCCCGCGGCCATGGCGCCAGCGGCTCGCCTCCAGAGCTCGGCGGGGAATCGGCGTTTCCGGATGGTTTTCGCGACCTGCCACAGCGGCGCGATGATCGTCACCGCCGCTGGGTCCAGCCGCCAGGTCGGCGCCAAGATGCCGAGCACGATCTGGGGGCCGCCCGGAGACCGCCCCAGCAGACGGCGTGCCGCGCGGCGGCGCGAAGCCCGGCGGCCAATTCGCGCGCTGGGGGGCGCCCGCAGGCCGCGCCATAATGAAAGGCCCGCGGCAGTGCCCGCAGCGGCCCCCAATGCGCAGCGCTGGCGAAAACTCACGGGCAGCGGGCCGAGTCTGCCAAAACGGCCCTGCGCGACGACCAGCCGGCCGGCGGAGACGGCGCAGCGGCGCGCCCTGCCGGCAGTCGCCATGGCCCCGATGTCCTTGAAATCCGCGCGCGCCTGGAGGCCTGGGGATTGCACATTTCGATTGATTCGATCATGTTTGCCGAGTCGATAGCGACTGATCCTGCGCTCCACGTAAGCGAACTTGGTGGAGTCCGAAGGAGAGCGGCCTCCAGGGGCTCTTCTCCGAGCCGCGGGGCGGCGATGTCCTGGTGACCGAGACGGCGAGGCGGCGCCGGCCACAGCCAGGGGGTGGGTGGGCTCTGTTGTCCCCCCCTTCGAGCGGGCAGCGATCGTTTACTTATACATATAACGGCGCACTGGGTCCGGGGGCCCGGGGCCGGGACCCCGACCACAAATGTGGGCCCCGGGGGGCCCGGAGGCTCGTCGGACCGCCGGACGCCGTCCAAGATCGTTCGCAGGCGGTTTCGGAACGCGCTCCGATGGCTCCAGATGCCTTCCAAGACGCCTGTCATGACACCAAGAAGGTCCCAGAAGCCTCCAAGACGCTCCGAGAGGCAGCCCAAGAGAGGCCCAAGAAGCAACAATCGTGCCATTCCTATGGGAAAACGTATATTTTTCGCATGTTCGCCTCTTGGGCTTTCACCGCGTCCAAGACGGCCCAAGAGGCGCCCAAGACGGTCTACGAGGCCTCCGGGAGCGCTCCAAGGCTGCGCACGAGTGGCCCAGGACGGCCCCAAGACGGCCGAAGAGAGCCCCAAGACGAGTTCGAGAGGGGTCCCAGACGGAGAAAGCCAACCTCGAATTCCGAGCTTCCGGCCCAAGAGGCTCCAGGAGGCGCCAAAATGCCGCCAAGAGGCGCCAAAAGGCTCCCAAAAGCACCCCAAGACGTTCCGAGAGGCACCCCAAGAGAGGTCCAAGAAACAAAAATCGTGCCATTCCTATGGGAAAACGTATATTTTTCGCATGTTCGCATCTTGGGCTTTCACCGCGTCCAAGACGGCCCAAGAGGCCTCCAAGACGGCCTAGGAGGCCTCCGGGAGCGCTCCAAGGCTGCGCACGAGTGGCTCAGGACGGCCCCAAGACGGCCCAAGAGAACCCCAAGACGACTTCGAGAGGGGTCCCAGAAGGAGAAAGCCACTCTCGAATTCCGAGCTTCCGGCCCAACATATCCCAGGAGGCGCCAAAACGCCGCCCAGAGGCGCCAAAAGGCTTCCAAAATCAGCCCAAGACGTTCCGAGAGGCACCCCAAGAGAGGTCCAAGAAACAAAAATCGTGCCATTCCTATGGGAAAACGTATATTTTTCGCATGTTCGCATCTTGGGCTTTCACCGCGTCCAAGACGGCCCAAGAGGCCTCCAAGACCGCCCCAAGACGGCCCAAGAAGCTTCCAAGAGGGCCCCAGGACAGCCCAAGAGGGCCCCAAGACGGCCCAAGAGGCGCCCAAGATGGCCCAAGAGGGCCCCAAGACGGGCCCAAGAGGGGGCCCAGAGGGGGACCACGAACCGCAAGCTCGAGCCTTCCGCCCCAAGAGGCCGCCAGGAGGCCCCAAGGAGGCCCCTCAAGAGGCCCCAGGAGACCCCCAAGAGGCCCAAAGGAGGCCCCGAGAAGCCCCAAATCGGCCCCCAAAATGCTTCGAACCTGCTTCCAGGAGGCCCCCGACAGGTTCAGAGGCTCCCGAGAAGCTACGTCAAACTCCCAGCGAGCGGCCGGACGAGGCCCCCCACAAAATCACAAGAGGGTTCCAGTATTTGTATCCTTCAGCGCTCTCTGGCCTTCTTCCCCCTGCCCCCTTCCCTGCGACTTTCGTTGACTCAAGCTCGCCTCCTAGCTAGAACCTAAGCGCGCGCGAAGCGCGCGCGTGGTTCTAGTTGCATATTCGGGTGTCTTTCCTGTCCTATGCACGGCAGTCTTTTTTCTTGTTTCCGACGTTGGTCCGACGTGGATTCGATTTGAATTCGGCACGGATTCGACGCGCTCGACTTGGACTCGACATGGATGCGACACGGATGTCAGGTGCGATGGGACAGACGAGGTTCCCCAAAGATGCACCATCACAGTGGGCAGCGATTGGTTTTCGGGTGTTTTCGCCGGATTTGGCCGCTTTTCGAGCTTCGGGATGTTCTCCAGCAGCTGTGCCTCGCCCCGGGGCTGCCCAGACTGTCCCGAATGGCCGCTGGAGGCCAGAGCTGCGGCCCGAAAGCTCAAGCATTGAGAAACTCAGTGCGAGAGGCTGTCGCCATTTTCGGCCCCCGGGGGCCCTCGCTGGGCCCTGGGGCCGCTCAAAAAGGTTCAGGATGAGAAGGCAGCCCCGACTTCCAGGGGCCCCACATTGAAGAACCCAGTCACGACATCCTGTGTCTGGGTTCCTTGCCCCCTCCTTTCGAGAAAGCGCAGACATGGATAAAGATGAGTAGATTAACGACAGGCCCCGTCTCCATGCGAATTCGGCGCGCTCCGCCCCCACATGTGGCGGCAATGGCGCCATTTTTCGGGGAGCACTTTCCCCGATCTGTTGATCTTCAAGCTTACGCCACATCCGCCGACCCCTTGTTTTTTTTTCTGGGGCGATCGCCGGTTTTGGGAGGGGCTCTGTTGGAGGCTCTGTGAGGCGGCCGGAGGGGTTCATGAGTGGTCTGGATGTCATCTTGGTCGATCATTTTTTTTTTTGGTTCTTCTTCCTTTCTCTGGCGCGTCGGGGTCCTCTTGGATTGCCTGTGGGCCTTCTTGGGAGGTCTCAGGGGTCGTTTTGGAGCTCCGGAGCGAGCCCATGGACTTGGGCGCCTCGTGGGTCGTCTTGGCGCCCTTTTGGGGACGTCTTGGGAGCCTCTGGGCCCTGGACGGCAATGCGGGACGACGTCGCGTTCACACTGCGACGCAAAGAAGGGCACCCTGAAATGCAAGACATGCAAATGATGTCCAATCGGACGCGCGTACTGGGGAGGAAAAGGAGGAGGGGGAGAAGAGGATGGGGGGGGTGGCGGAGGATGGCGGGGAGAAACATCGAAGAGGATGAGGTGAAGCGGACAGGAAAAGGAGGAGGGGGACGAGGAGGAAGTGGAGGAGAAGGAGGGGGAGGAGGGGACACTGAGATGGGCCTCTGGGTCATGGGTTAGAGCTTTCTTGCGTGTGTAACGGGATCTCTTGGGGGGCTTCTCGTGGGACAGTTTCGAAGCCTTTTCCGTTGTGGAGTATGCCCGACGGGGGCGGATGGGAAGGCGCCCGCGTTCACAGACTTGAGCCATTTGTCCGATAACCAGAAAGTACATTATAGGAAGACGGGCCAGGCGCATCGCCCAGTCGTGTGCCGCGCGTGTCACGATGCGCGCACGGGGGCGAAAAAGTTTGAATGCTCCGCGTGCCCACCGAACGGGGACGGGAAGAAACCAGCGTTTTCAGACGGGGGCCATTTGTCGAAAGACCAGAAGAAGAATTATTTCAAGCGAAACAACCCAGTTGTGTGCGCGAAGTGTTTTAAAGCGGGACGAGCGCCGCGGAGAGACCCTCCGAAACGCCCGGCGGAACCAAGTGACGAGCATTGCGACAAGGCACGGAAGTTGCGAGGAATCTGACCGCTGGGGACGGGATGGATAAGGCCCGCGTTTACAGACGTGAGCCATTTATCGGACAGTCAGAAAGAACATTACAGGAGAACGGGCCAAACGCATCGCCCGGTCATGTGCCGCGCGTGCCACGAAAAATCGGAGGCCCAGATTTTCCGTTGTGGAGCATGCCCGACGGGGGCGGATGGGAAGGCGCCCGCGTTCACAGACTTGAGCCATTTGTCCGATAACCAGAAAGTACATTATAGGAAGACGGGCCAGGCGCATCGCCCAGTCGTGTGCCGCGCGTGTCACGATGCGCGCACGGGGGCGAAAAAGTTTGAATGCTCCGCGTGCCCACCGAACGGGGACGGGAAGAAACCAGCGTTTTCAGACGGGGGCCATTTGTCGAAAGACCAGAAGAAGAATTATTTCAAGCGAAACAACCCAGTTGTGTGCGCGAAGTGTTTTAAAGCGGGACGAGCGCCGCGGAGAGACCCTCCGAAACGCCCGGCGGAACCAAGTGACGAGCATTGCGACAAGGCACGGAAGTTGCGAGGAATCTGACCGCTGGGGACGGGATGGATAAGGGGGACGTGGAGGAGGGAGGATGGGGGAGCAGCCAAAGGCGGAGAAGGTGAAAAGTGAGCCAGTGGAGGGAATACGAGACAGAAAGCTGAGAGGGGAGACGGGAGGAGGGGGCGGAAGAGGAGGATGAGAAGGAGCAGGAGAACACGACGAGGACGACAATGGCGGCGACAGACTCGACGGCGTAGGCTGGGCACCTTTTTGGGGCCATCTTGGGGGCTTCGTTGACCGTTGTGGGAGCCTCTGGCGCCGTCGTCGTGAGAATCCTCTCGGGGGCCTGCGGGAGGCAGTTTGGAGGCTTCTGGGGAGCTGTTTTGGGGCAGCTTGGGGCTTTTTTTGGGCTTGTTGGGGGCCTCTTGGGGGCTTCTTGGAGCCTCTTGGAGGCCTCTTGGGGCCTCCTTGGCGCCTTTTGGGGCGGAAGGCTAGAATTTTAGGTTCGTGGTCCCCGTCTGGAGCCTTTCTTGGGCCCCTCTGTGGGCCCTCTTGGACTGTCTGAAGGCCCTCTTGAGCCGTTTTGAGGCGCTCTTGGGCCGTGTTGGGGCCCACTTGGGAGCCTCTCGGGTCGTCTTGATGCCGTCTTGGGGGCTTCTTTCGCCGTCTTGGAGCGTCGGAAGCCCGAAAAAACGCGAAGGCCAAAAACGTTGAAAAAACCAATGGAAATCGACGATTTTGGCCTCTTGGGGCCATCTTGGGAGGCGTCTTGGAAGCTTCTTGGGGCGTCTTGGAGGCATCTGGGGCCATCTGGAGGCCATCTTGACCGTCTTCGAGTGTTTTTTCGGCGACTCGGGGCCCTCTTGGACCGTCTGCAGAGCTTCTTGGGAGCCTCTTCGCTCGTTTGCGGCCCCCCCAGCAGACTCTCTGGAGCGGATGACCCCCCCCGGACCGCGCCGGCGGATCCCGGGGAATCCGGCCGGACCCCCCCCCCCCCCCCTCCAAAACGACCGGACCAGGCTCCGGGGGGAGGGGTTTGGGGAGGGGGGAAGCATCTCACACGCCGATGACCCCAAGGGGTCGGCGGATTTGGTGCCCACGCGCCAGATCCACGGATCCGTAATCCATGTTGGTTTGTGCCCGGCCCCTTCAGTGGCAATGTTAGGGGAGATAGGCGCAGGGGGGAATACGACCCCCGATCCCCTACCGATCCCCCATATAGGGGCCTCATGGCCCACACCGCCCAGGGCCCGTACGGTATCGCCATCGGGGGTCTAGCCGCCGATCAAATGGCAATGTCTCCGATTCCAGGCCCTGAGCCCGCCCCTTGGAGGTTTTTTCGCGCAACGTTCCTCCCCTCAGCCACGCGCAGACGGGGGGAGGGGGGACGGCTTCTCAGAAGCACCCTTGCTTCGTAGAAGGCGCGTGCCTTGGCTGGCACCTTCGCAGAAGCAGCCTCCTACTAAGAAGCCTTTCCCCCTCCCCCTACGTACCCCTTGTGCGCGCCGCCGAACTTCGGTTCGAGCAACGTCCCCCTCCCTCCGAGACAGATCCCCCAAGTCGCTTTCCCTGGCCCCTGCTGGGAACCATCGGCCTCGGCGCCCCTCTCGACGGGTCGCCGATGCGCCCTGGAGTTTGGTCCGACGCGCGGACGTCTTGGGGGAGGGCCCCTCGGCCACCAGGGCAAACTCCGCCTCGGACGCGGGGTTTGCCGTGGGTTTGCCGCGGCAGCGGCTTCGCCTCCTTGGGCGCTGGGCGCAGGGCTTGGCGTGGGTTTGCCATGGTGCCGGCGTCGTCCACCTGGGCGCGTCGAAAACAAACGGCGCGGCGACAGAAATCACGTTCCATCCCGGCAAAGCTTGGCAGATCCGGGGGAACATCCGGGGATCTCGGCGGCAGCTCGGCGCAGCTCGTGGCCGCTCCGAGCGCGCGCCGAGGGGCGGCGGGGCGGCCGCGGCCGGCCGGCCGGCGAGGGGCAGCGGCGCCTTCCTGCGGGAGCTCCCGGGCCTGTCGTGGGAGCCCGACGGCGGGACGTGGACGGCCGACGGGGGAAAAAGAGAGGTTCGATGTTCGAGAGAGCGCGTTCTGTGGGCGCCTGGAGGGGGGGGGGAGTCGGAAGCAGACCCCTCCCCCTTGGATTGAAGGGGGGGGCGCCCCTCCCGCTTCTTCAACGGCGCTGAAGGTTGGGGGGGGCCGAAGGTTGGGGTGCCAAAGGGAAGGGTGGGGCGCCCCCCCCCCCGGTTCGAAACGCGCCGCCGAATGTTCCCAAGGCGAAGTAGGAGGAGGAAAAGGTACCAATACCGCTACCTTCCGCTCGTTCTCCCCTTTTCGGGCCTCCTGGGAGGGCCTCGTGGCCACCGCTGGATTCGCCTCGAAATTCTGGTCAGAGCCCACCCCAGGAGACGGCCGACGAGGAAAATCGCAGGTGCTTTCTCGCCCCCAACACCCCCGACCCCTCGACGAAAAATGAAGCCGCTCAGAAACGGAAAGGAATTCGGGGATACACCCCCAGGGAGCTGATCGGACGCACCCCAATCGAGGATGGATGCCACCCCATCGTATATCCCAGGATTGGGCCCCAAATTCCTTGTCCACGAAGCCTGGAACAGGGGCCTGACAACGGGACGTGGACGGCCGACGAGGACAAAAGGGTCCGATACTCGAAGGAGCAAAAACAGCATGCAGATAAGCTTTCGGAGGTCCGCGCGGAATTTTTCGATCGGCGCTGGGGTCCCCTAGCGGCGCCTCCGGCGCCGCCCTTGGCGCGCTCCGCGCGCCATGTAGGGGGGTTCCAGCGCGGATCCAAGAAATCCGCGCGGACTGTTCAAAGCTGATGTTTAGGCGTGGCCCTCATCTCCACGGCTGGATTCGCTCAGGAATCCTGCTCAGAACGCATTCCGGGAGGGAGGTCCATGGAATGGAGTGGCAGTATCGGTATTTGTTTGTTCACCACAGGACGGCCGCGATCGTGGACGTCGACGTGGACTCCCCCGATCAGGAGCTGCTCGGCTTCGGCGGCGCGTTCACGGAGGCGGCCTCCACGGTGTTCTCGCAGATGGGCGGCGCTGCGCAGGACGAGTTTCTTGACCGCTACTTTGGCCCCGAGGGGCTGGGGTATTCTGGGCTCAACACAGAAGTATAATCACAATAAGTGGATTTTTCGGGAGGCCCCCTCGGGGAAAAACCCACCGACCTCGACACGAACAGTTGGGTTGTGGTTGTGATCGATTCGGCTGTCCTGGGATGCCACATCGGCCACAACCAGCACAAAGCTGGCTTCGGTGTTCTGACGATCGACGGTATGCGCAGGGCATCCACCACAGTGTGTCCTGGCATCCTCCTCCTCCTCCCTCTCCAGGCTCCCGCCCACAACGCCGTGGTCTCTTGTTCCAAGCCCGCGCCCTCCTCCGCATTGCTCCTCGCTCTTGTTGCATACATCCTCGGCGGCGCGCTTCATGAGGAACCGAGGACATCAGGCTTGCTTAGCGCTGTCGTGTGTAGGGGTAAGTTGCAGTGGCAGCGCGAATCCTTTCGTGGTGCTGGCTGAGGCGTGATTACACATGCTGGGGCTGTGTCCCATGGAAACAATCGATGTGGTGTTGGTCGTTTGCTGCCCCCGCAGGTACACCCTCGGGCGGGTGCACATCAACAGCTGCGACTTCTCGCTGGAGGGGTACAGTTTCGCCGAGCGCAGGGACGATTGGGACCTCGCGGGCTTCGACGACTCCGTGGGGCACGACGTGGACAACAACCTTATTCCTCTCATCGCCCGCGCCCAGACAGTGGCTTCCGACGAAGAGAAAACAACGTACAGTAAGCGTAGACTCCCAGAGGCCCGCGCGGCGTCCTCGGCTTTGCGCCGCGGCCCCCTTGGCGGCGCCTTTGGCGCCGCCCCTGCACGCGCCCCGCGCGCCAGGGAGGGGAATTTGGCGCCGATCCGAGAAAGCCGGGCGGACCTCCAAGAAGTGGTGTTCATGCTTTTCTGTTGTTCCCCCAGGTTCAGGGCAATGGGCAGCAGCTGAAGCTGATCGCGTCCCCGTGGAGCCCTCCTGGCTGGATGAAGACCAGCGGGCAGATGGATGGCTCCGACGACCCCGGGCTGCGCGCGGAGTGCCGCGGCGTGTGGGCCAAGTACATCTCGCGGTGGATCTCGGCTTACGGGGCCCACGGCGTGCCGATCTGGGGCGTGACCGTGCAGAACGAGCCTGGTCACAACTCCGCCTTCGAGTCGTGCCGCTTCTCGGCGGAGCAGGAGTCGGAACGAGCGAAATGGGCACGGAAAGAATGGGCACACAGCCGAACAGCAGTTCTTGTTGATTTTGAACAGGACTCGCTGTCCACGCCGCCGCGGCCTATGTCCATTTGAAACAGAAGGCCGCCTGCCCAACAGCGGCCGCTGTTGGTTTGGGACAACATTTGTTGTTGGGCATTGTACCCATTTTTCCTGTACCCATTTCGGGCGTCCAAACAGGAGGCTGGGTTTCTGGCCGACCACCTTGGACCGCAGCTCAGGGCAGATCACCCGGGGGTCAAAGTCTTTGTGTTTGACGATAACAAGGACAGCATCCTGGAGTTTGCCGAGGTTGTACTGAAGCACCCCTCCGCTTCGACCTTTGCCGACGGCGTAGCGTTCCACTGGTACTCGGGCGACTATTTCGACAGGGTCGCCGACACGCACGAGAAGTTCCCTGATGTTCTTCTCTTGGCAAGCGAGGCCACGTACGACGAGTTTGGCGGCAAGAACGAGAGAGACCCGTGGGAATTTGGCGAAGGATACGCGCACGACATCATAGGCGATCTGAACGCGGGCGCGGTCGGCTGGATCGACTGGAACTTGCTCTTGGACGAGGCTGGAGGCCCAAACCATGTCGGCAACACCTGCCAGTCGGCCATGACGGCGGGCCCGGGAGCGGAGGCGCTGCAGCTGCACCCGCAGTATTACTTCATCGCGCACTTCTCCAAGTTCATACCACCAGGCTCCCGCCGCCTGCGGACCCGGGTCGGGAACCGCGCGGCGGGCGGAGCGGCGGGGGGGCGCTACTACGGGAGCTGCAGCGGGGCCGACGGCTTGGAGGCCACCTCCTTCCTGAGGCCCGACGGCTTCGTCGTCGTCGTGGTGCTGAACTGCGGGGCGGAGGCGATCGACTTCGCGCTGCGGCTGGGCGCGGCGCTCGTGCGCACCACGGCCCCCCATGAGATCCGACGCTGCGACAAAAATGCACCCTCGCGGAAAATCACGACAGGTGCCCTGCGGCATCTTCCGAGCCCGGTCGATCTGCGATGGCCCCGGGTCCGGGGGCCGGGCGAAGACGCCGAATTTGAAAAGATTGCAGCGCCGATGATGACGATGAGGATGACGATGATGACGATGACGATGACGATGACGATGATGACGGTGACGATGACGATGACGATGACGATGACGATGATGGTGGTGATGTTGATGAGGATGAGGATGCTGATGAGCAGAGCAGAGCAGCGCCGATGATCCGATGAAGTCAATCGCCTTGAGACAACCGCACCCTGCAGGCCCACAAGGAAAACAAAAAACGGATCAGGCGTTCGAGAACCGCTTGAGGGGCCCGAGATTCTGTGGGGCCCTGCAGGGGGATACCACTGGCATACAAGCGAGACCCCCTTATCGGGAACTCCTAGGGGGCTCGCCTATGCACTCCCTCCACTGAACAGGGCCGAGGGACGGCGACGCATAAACCGACCCCAGCACAACCCCATTCAGCCCTCCTCAACGCGGCGCGGCACGGCCCAGACGTCCGAGGTCCGCAGGGAACCCGAGAGACGGCCCTCGCCCCAGGAACTCGAAGCCAACCGAAGCTGGCGGGAGGCCTCCGAAAGCCTCTGAAGAGTCTCGGCGCCGAAGGAAGCCTGAATGGGGGGGGTCCTAAAGAAAAGTCTAACCTCCAGGGCCCCATCCGAGTACTCGAGGATCGGGGAGAGGGTCCGAGCCTGGAGGGCGAGGAGGGTCTCGTCTGGGAGGCGACCCTGGAGGTACAGCTCAGCGGTGCGGCGTGAGCCATTGACGGATTGCAGCCTGAAGCGAGCTGGTCTGCTCAGAGCTCGTCTTCGTCCTTGTCCCTGCCGTCGGGCGCCGCTGCTGGTTTGTCCTTCATCCCCAGCTGCGCCAGCAGCTTCGAAGCCTCGCGTTCCAAGCCGCCTCTCGGCGGCGCCCCAGGGAGAAAGCGCACGGTCTGGTCCTTCTTGTCTGAGCCTGCCGCCATGACCGTCTGCTGAACCGCCTCCATCAGGGAAACTGAGCCGTCGCCCCATGGGTTCGCCTGTTGCGGGATTCCGAGCATGATCTGGAGCTTGAACCTGTCGGGCTTGGAGAGCTTCTTCTTGTCGTACCAGCAGGCTTTGAGGCGGAAGTGGCGGCAGTGGATCGCCAGTGTCTCGAGCGCCGACGGGGCGAGGATGACCTTCCGCCAGTAGTCCTGGAACACCGTCTGCGCTGCCGCTGGAGTCGTGTTGGCCCCGTCCGTGCTGCAGGCCCACTTGATGAACGCCTTGAACACGTGCGGCCAGGGGGGGCCGTGCTGGTGGTCCTTGCCGTCGGCCTTGCAGTTCTCGGCGTACGTCTTGCCCGTCTCCTGCAACACCTTGACGAACGGAGCCTCTGCCCCGACCATGTACGAGGTGAAGCAGGCGCCAGTCACTTCGGCCAATTCGCGCGCGTTGGTGAGGGCGAGCTTCGTGAGAACCACCAAGAGCGCCGCCAGCGCTCCTCCCTTGCCGTTCTTCTGGTTGGCCTGCGCCTCCTGGCCGAGCTCCGCGAGCAATCGGGCCTGCTTGGCACCCTTGGAGTCGCTGGTCTCCTGGCCCTTGCGTTTCCCGACTGCCCAGCTGGGCTCGTCGAGATCCATCACCTCCAAGCACGAGCGGGAGGTCCTCGAAGTGGATGCGCGTATGGAGGTGAAGGGCAGGCTCGGAAAGAACTTGAGCCTCACATAGGCGGCAACGGAATGGGCCTGTCGACGGAGCGAGCTCGAGAGTCGTGCTGAGCTGAACCTTGCAGAAGCCCGAAGCGAACGAGTCCAGCACGTGGTTGTAAGCCGAGTTGCGAGACTGGAACCTGCTGCCACAAACGAAGCACGAAGCGCCCTGGACAGCCTCAGCCAACAAGGTTTTGTAGCCATGAGCGGCCCGAACGTGAACCAGCCACTGACGTTTCGTGAGGAACCATTTGGCGCAGTTCCCGATGGAGCAGCGAAAGCCCTCACCTTGTCCTGCGGGGGTCTCAGGTGGTGCCCCTTGGTGGGGGCCAGGGGTGCCTGCAGGAGGGATGCTGACCGAGAGCCACGCGGCCCTGACGACTGAGAGGTCCAACTCCGTGAACCAGTCCCGCAAGTCCCCCTCCTCGAGAAACTCCAAAGGGGCTCCTGACCAGGAACGCATCTCCTCCTCGGTGTCCGCGGACGTCCTCCGAAGCGCCTCGAAGTCCCTGACGTACTGGATGGCCCAGGGGTTCGCCGTCTCCGTGAGATGGCCCTCGGGTGTAAGGGTTCGGAGGCCTCGCAGCTTCTCGATGTTCATGTCCCCGAAGAGAGGGGCCCACTCGCCTAGATGCCGTGCGGGCTCTCGAACCCATTGCTGGTACCACCGCAAACGTCTGACACGGAACTCGATTTCGAGAGGAGGGACCCGCCAATACCTCAAGACCGCCTCGGAAGAGACCGAACGAGCGTGCCCCCCCTCCCAAGACGTCGCGGCACCCCTCATAGCTTTGCGCCCGAAGAAGGCGACCCGCGCCGTGAGCTGGTCAATCTGGTTGGGGGACGGCAAGAAGGCCTCGCAGGCGGAACGCGCAGGACCCACAACCCTGGCAAGGAACACAGCGCGGCGCTCGGTGTAGGCGATCCTCCGAGAGTACCAATACTTTCCCATGGAAAAAAAGCCCGCAGAGATGGCCGCCAGGCGGGCCGAAAGCTCGGCCCGAAACGAACAGTTACCCATGACCTGGCCTCCAAGATGTCGGGTTGAATCAGCTGGGGCCCCTGCGAGAAGAACCTTTTTTTCCGCCACTTCTCGCCGCCGTGCATGGAGCCCCGTGCCCACGAAAGACAAGAGGCTGACGTTCTTGGCTGGGTTGAGCGCATAGCCGTGACGTCGGAGCTCTGACGAAAGAAGCAAGTCATATGCTCGGGACCAACGCGCGAGCTCCGCGGCCGTAGCCTGGTCAGGCACCACGATCTTCCGAATGGCGTCATCTACATATGAGTGAAAAGCCAAGTCAAGAAGAATCTCCTCGCCATCAAAATTGAGCGTGAGCTGGCACCAGGTAGCCGCCTCGGGGCCGAACTCCGCAAACTGTTCCTGCACCTTCGCAAAGACGGTGCTGATGTCCCGAACAAAGACTTTCACCGCCCACGGATCGCCGATGAGGGCCCCGACGCTGGGGCGCACGCAGAGGTCGCCAAACATCACGGCAGCAAAGCGGAAGCGCTGGCGGCCGAACGAAACCTGGTCGTCCTTCATGATGCTCTGGTTGGCGGCTGCGAGGCTGTCCCAGTTGGTGGACGCGAAGGCGTTGGTAATGTCCTTGAGGTCAGTGACGTGATTGAGGCCGAGAGAGCGCAGCTTCCATGTACACAGCTGCTGGCCCAGGATGGCCGTCTCTCTGCGCCGATGAGGTATACAGCCGTGAGCGAAAAGAGGTTCGTCCTGGAGCTCGTGCGGGTCCATCGCCGTGGCCATGAAGCCCTTGCCGAAGGGGTCGAGGAGGTGAATGACTCTCTTCCAGGTGAGCGCCACGCCTTGGCTCAAGTGCCACACGAGCGGGACCTGGCCTGAACGTCGAAGCCTATGGAGGAAGATCACCAAAAAACGCCACGTATGCTCCTGATCGATCTGCGGTGTCTCGTAGCCAACTCCGTGGATGCTGATGAGGACGAGGTTGAGGATGAGGATGAGGTTTAGGATGAGGATGAGGATGGGGATGAGGATGAGGATGCTCATGAGGATGATGCTGCTGATGATGATGATTCTGAGGCGATGACCATGACGATAACGATGATGGTGATGATGATGACGAGTCTGCTCATGGTCATGATGATACTGATGATGCTGATGCGATGATGCTGATGATTATTAGCATGATGATGACAATGATGATGCTGGTGATGATGCTGATGATGCCGATTATGCTGATGCTGATGATGCTGATGATGCTGATTATGCTGATTATGCTGATGCTGATGCTGTTGCTGATGATGCTGTTGATGCTGTTGATGCTGATGCTGGCGCTGATGCTGCTGATGCTGATGACGACGACGATGACGATGGCTATCGCGGCGAAACTGCACCCCGCCGCGGTACCATTGACAGCAACAAGCGGAGGGGCGACCGCCCAGGCCAGCATCGCGCATCGAGCCGTGCGATGGGCCGCCAAGCAACTCGCACCGATGACAACATTGAGAGAGTGCTGCCGGCAACGGTAGAACAAGAGGGCCAGCGGGACCCGCGCATGGAACTCGAGCACGTCCCACGAAATGCCAGCACCAGCTTCCCCGCTCAGATCTCCCGCCCCCCAGCGGGCACTCTGACTCCACGCGGCGTCTTGGGCCCCACTGAGCATGCTCGCGACCAGGCAGGGCCCGTCGCCAAAAACGTCGCGCTCTAAGGCCGCGGGCCTCCGAGCTTTCGTCTTAGCGAACGACAAGGGCTGAAGAAAACCCATCTCGCCCGAGAGCCCGCAGAGGACACAGCCCACTGAGCAACGACCGGGGCCCGCACTAGCCTAGGCAGCATGCCCCCAAACCTCAATCAACTCGAAAACCTAGCCAAAGCGGCCGAAGCGGCCCACGCGCCATCGGACACACAGGCATAATGCCACATGCGAAACACATCCGGCCCGACGGCCACAAGCCCAGGGAACGCACGCAACAACGACCTGATCAGCTCAGGCTCAAGGATTGGGAGGTCTTTTCAGGGCACCTCGATCTTTAGGCAGGCTGTCGGAGGCTTCCAAGAAGGTCCGAAATCGGACGGTCTCCGCGCGAAGCAGCTCCTCGGGGTCAGAGACAATTGCCCCGAAACGAGAGAGGGTGGTGGTGGGTCGCCAGGCCGTCGGGTCAACCGTAACCGAGTGGACTCCCTCTCTCCGTTGTCGACCCCCTCCAGAAGACATGAGCTCCAGCCCTGTCTGGCCGCGCCCAGGACGGCGGCCACCGTGTACCTTTGCTCCAGACCAGACTGCCACCGCTGGTCGAGGTCTGGCTCGCCTAGCCAGGCGCGCACCGCTTGCTGTGCCTCGGAGAAAACGGCAGTGTAGTTTCTCTGGTTTCTCTCAATAGGAGTAGAATCATCTGCAGGCTTGGCACCGTGCAGGGCGCGGCCCACGTCGCCCCCTTATCCCCCGCAAGGGCGCGCGCTTTCAGAGTGCAGCCAACGAACGACATGCAAGGCAGGGAACCCGGTAGCCCCCCTGTCTTGGCCCAGCACGGGCCCCCACCGCGTCTGAGCCTCCCCCCTTGGGCCCCGACCAAACTAACGGGGCGAGGCGCCCATTCTGTCGCAACTCGCCTCGGCCTTATTGGCCCAATTCCTCTGCCCTTGATCTACGAGGGACTCCGCCATACCCCGCTGCCGCGCCCGGGCCCTTCGGGGCAAACGATCGACCAAATCCTTCACTTTCCCGTGCTCGGGCGGACAGCGAGCAGGGCCAACCTGGGGGTCAATGGGAAGCGGTGGAGGCGCCCGAAAGGAGTGCGAACGTAGCTGGGCCAGCCCAGCATGAAGCTTAAGATCGACTGGCCCACGGGCCTAGAAGGCTGACCCCAACTGCCGCGCAGCTGAGCTCACAGCCTTAGGCTGGTCCACCGACAGCACGATAAAGTCGATCTTCGAGGGCGCCAAGCAGGCTGGTTAGCACGTCTCTTCGCTGGTGGAGACCACCTGAGCCTTCAAGTGCTGGGGACATTCTGACTTGCTCAACTCTGACGGTTCCACGTTGAAGTCTCCTCCCAGGAGGAACGGCATGCCCGATGCAGCCAGCCTCGATCTAAGCGCGCTGAGTAGGTCCAGCTTCCCCCAGGCAGCCCCTCGCACCAATGGAAGTCAACGGTGGCAACTAAGCGCTGCTCCCCACTGGGCGGGCGCATCGCCGCGGCATAGTAGCGAGGGCCCGAAAGAGCCAACTCATTCGGCGGGGGGTGAAGCCCCGTGCAGCTGCGGGCCAGGATGGCCGCCCCAGACCAAGGGCCACCTCCTGGCCTAGACAGGCCATGGACCATGAAGATCGCCAGCCCTGCCTAGCGCAGCAGCCCGAAGCCCTACCCGGGGCCTCCTGGCCGGTGAGCTTGCGCCCCTGAGCAAATGCAACATGGGCCTCGCAAGTCCCACGCCAAACCTCGGCGGCACTCCGAGCGCTGTCATTGATCAGCGCCAAAGCCTCCAGACTGGGGGCGGCGGCAGGGGGCCAATGGTGGCTCGCGGGGGCGGAGGCTCCATTCAGCGAAAAATGTCCGCCACTCCCCGGGCAGGAAGGCCTAGGCATGACATCAGAACGACAAGGTGAACGGAACACTCCCAGGAGAAATGGGGCGCGCCCCAGAGCAGTCGAGGGCTGCCGTCGGCCTGCAACTGCGAACGATCAAACTGCGCGCGCTCGCCCCGAGGCCGGCCCCCCAGCTGGCCCGTGGCGGCCAGGAAGAGTATCTGGGCTGCTCTGAGAAAAGGTCGCGCTGCAACTTCAGACTCACCGCTTGGGGGGGGGGAGGCGTGGGCCGAGAGAACGAGCGCGCGGGGCCCTTACATCGTTCTCCTCGCGCAACTACTTCGAAGACAGAACTACCTCAACGTCGTGGGAAAGCTGCACGCGCTCGCCCTGACTGCGCCCCCTCCTCCAGCCTTGGGGACTTGACAGTATGGCTGGGCTCCGAGGTGAGAGGTCGCACTGCGAGGACAGACACAACGCTCGGGGATTTGGCGTGGGTCGGCAGCCCCTCCACGGTCATCCATGCGAACACATCCGACAGCAGCGCTCCCTCGACGCCGAACAGCGAGCTCCCCCCCAGCCTGGGCGGTCTTGGAACTGAGGCTGGCTTCCGAGAAACTGGGGCAGCACGCAGACGCGGGCCACCCCCGCCGGACGAATCCGACCATCCCAACGCGTCGCTAAACTTCGGCGGGGCGGGGAGGGCGGGGGAGAGAGGCGGAGGCGCCCGCTGCGGCGCCGGTCTGGCGGCGTCCGCGCGGACGCGCGCCAGCAGCTCGTCTGAGGCTGCGGCAGAGGCCGCGAGCTTCTGCTCTGCCGCTGGCGGCTCAGATGCAAGAGCGGTGCCGGCGGCGGCGGCTCCGTCACGTCGGCTGAGGAGCCTGCAGGGGCACCGCCAGTAGCACCGTCAGCTGGCCCACCAGGCGCAGCACTTGGTCATCCAGCGAATGTGTGCCGACAACGTGCCACGACGCTCACCATTATCCCACAAACTCTCTTGCGATACCCCATGCTCGAAAGAAAAGGGCTTCCAAAATGGAGGCTGAACGCGTCCACCTTGTCTCGGGTATAGCCAGGACCCCAGGTAAGGGGACCCGGTTAGTGGTAGAGCCTGGGGCCCCTCAATTGGCCAGATTCACTAAACCAGGTTTGCCGTAACTGGTGTTTTTCGGGTGACGGCAGTTCCGGTTAGTGGAAATGAGACGGGGGTGCGCCCCCGGTACAAATCACTAAACCAGGTTCCACTAAACCCAGTTCTGCGAACACCCGATTGTCTTCCAAGACAGTTTACATACTCATGGCTGGCGCTCTTTCGTTGGACTTGGCCGCCGGCTACTTCAATTGAGAACTGGCCACCTTCTTAGCCAGCTCCTCGTAGCTTTTGCCCAGCTGCTGCAGCTCTTGAGACATGGTGAGGGCCAGTTGCTTTTTAGCCACAAACTGGCCATCGAGGGTGGGCACGCGCTTGAAACCTTCTCCACTGGCTACGCGCACCGCCACTGGGACCGCGACGAGACGAAGTTGGGACAAGTGGGATCGGCATCCCCCTGCCTCCGCGACGTTGCCGACCATCTCGTGCAGGGCAACGTGCAACTCCAGGTCCTGGGCCGACAATCCAGACACTGACTGCTGACGAGGAGGTGAAGGACCTTGGAAGGCCTGGATCACGCAATGCTTAATCTTTTTGTAGCTTGAACAATGGCGCGCGCGACCTGCTTGACCACGTAGACCAGGGCGCAGACGAGCACGAATCACTCCCGGTGGCCCCGCAGTGCTTGCAGACGTAGAGTCTGGGAGGGTTGTGGCGACAGCCGCACGTAGAACTGGTCCACTTCTTGGCATCTACCTGAGCGTGGCCGCCGTCAGAACGAGAAGACTGCTGACCAGGGACCAGGCGGGGCCACGTCTCGCGTCATGGCGCCATGCCAGTCCTTCCGTTGCCATTGTACGGGCGGCGAGGTCCAACTGGCATGCCACGGCCTCGAGTCGACCCTGCCTCCGCCTAGGAGGAGGAGCCTAAGCCCAAGGAGGGACTCTGGAAGCCCTGCGAACGGCGCTGCGGGAGCCGCAAGACGCCACATCTGCGCCGTGGACTCGGGCACCTGCTCCACGCACGACCACTCCACACAACCGCGCACAAGAGCGCCGACAGCAGCCCCTACTACATAGGGGACACACGGCGACCTAAACATACAAACGAGGCCCGCGCTGATTTCTAGGATCTGCGCTGGAGCCCCTCCCTGGCGCGCAGTGCGAATTGCTTGGTGGCAGCGCTCTCTCAATACAGTCGGCCCGGATTAGTAGGTCGACCCTGCCAAATCAAGGGTACCTTCGTGTCCTGTGTCTTGCGACCCGTGCTTCCTGCATTCCTATGGCAATGTGACCTTCGGAAGGGTCTTTTGTCCTCTCGCGTGTCCTGTCCAATCAAGGCCGACTGTACTGTCATCAGTGCGAATTGCTTGGCGGCCCATCGCCCGGCTCGATGCGGGATGCTGGCCTGTGCGGTCGCCCCTCCGCTTCTTTTTCTGTCAATGGGCTCGTGGTGGGGTGCAGCTTCGCCGCGATCGTCATCATCATCATCATCATCATCATCATCATCATCATCATCATCATCATCATCATCATTGGATAATCAGCATCATCAGCAGCATCTTCATCACCGCCATCATCAACATCATCATCAATATCATCAATATCATTCATATCATCATCATCATCATCATCATCATCATCATTATCATCATCCTCATCATCAGCATCATCATCTCATCACCATCAGCAGCATCATCACCGTCATCATCAGCATCATCCTCACCATTATAAGCATGACCCTCATCATCATCCTCACCAGCATCATAATCATCATCATCATCATCGTCATCAACATCACCAGCATCATCATTTTCTTCACCATCAATATCCACACCATCATAAGCATTACCCTCATCATCATCATCATCATCATAATCATCATCATCGTCATCATCATCATCGTCATCATCCTTATTGCTATTATCATCGTCATTATTCGGTTTCGCACCACCATCGCCATCACCTGCATCGTCATCATCATCATCATCATCATCATCATCATCATCATCATCATCATCATCATCATCATCATCATCAGCATCATCAGTATAGCCACCCACATCATCATCGTCATCATCAGTATCATCATCAGCAGCAGCATCATCATCATCATCATCAGCAGCATCATCATCATCGTCATCATCGAGCTCGAGGTCCCCCCCCGCGCCATCCAGACGTACGAGCTGCCGCGCCGCGAGGGCCCGCCGCCTTGCGACCCGGTGTGCGAGCCGGGCTTGCGCCCGGACGGCTGCCGCTGCATGCCGGTCGATTGCCCCGAGCACTCCGAGGGCGACAACGTGTCCTCGGGCTGCGCGTGCTCGCCGGGCTTCAGCGGCGCCATCGAGGGCTCCGGCGCGCCCCCGTTCTTCGTGGGCGCCTGCTGGCCCGAGCCGTGCCCGCTGAACTCGGAGGGCGCCAGCGTGGCCAGCGGGTGCGAGTGCGCTGCAGGGTGCCGCGGCACGCTGGAGGCCGCGCGGCATCCGCCCTTCTACCGCGGCGGCTGTGAGCCCGAGCCCTGCCCCGAGGGCTCCGAGGGCCTCAGCATCCCGGACGGCTGCAGGTGCCGCGCCGGCTTCCAGGGGGACATGCGCAGGGGGGCATCTCAGCACCACCACCTTGCCTGGCCAGGCCCGTGGGCCCCAGGATGGCGCATAGTCTGAGTGAGGTGGCCGGACGGTCTTACACAGTTCTCGGGTGCGTGGCTGTGGTGGGGCTCCGCGGTGCAGATTGTTGTTGTTGTTGTTGTTGTTGTTGTTGTTGTTGTTGTTGTTGTTGTTGTTGTTTTTGTTGTTGAACATTATTTATTCTAAAGAATAATTATTGTTGGGACCCCTGGTGCGCGGCCCCCTCGCCGCGCCTAGGCCGCAGTCACATTTTCATCATTTTCGTGAGGAAGTCTCAGGCAAAACGTGGGTGTCCGGATCCGGTTGTTTTGTTGTCCCCCGTTTTCCCTTGCAAAAAATAAGCTAAAGTGGACATTTCTTGTTCTAACATAACCAAACTTCAAGAATCCCTTGCAAAAAATAAGGTAAAGTGGACATTCGCGCGCGCAAGACGAAATCCTTCCAAAACCTTAGTGTTCGTAGCGATTTTAACATAAAAACATCAAAAAACCAATGGTTTTTCAAAAAAAAATGTCAAAATTTCATCCCGCGCGCTCTTGCGGATTCGTAGGAAACCCAACACTTTTTAAACATTTCTGTCAAACGGGCTTTTGCGAGCAACTTTTTCGAACTTCTGCAACAACGGTTGCGCACCTGCCAGGGCCATCATCCCTGTCAAATAATACCATGCGGGACACATTCGTTTTTTCTTCGCGCGCGCACGCCGTCGTCGTCGGCCGCGGGGCCCTGAATAGTAGCCACGGTCGTCCGCATGCCACGAAGTGAAGTGTCCGAACGTCATAGGGCGGGAAGCTGGGTGTGGGTGGTGGCGAAGAGTCGTTTGGAAATTTGGTAGAGCTTGAACCGGCCCCCCCACAAAGTGGGGGTATTGCCCGCCTCCTATGAAAACCCTGGCACTGGTGAGAACGGAGTGTCCCCACGTGCTAGTAATTGTTGAACATTATTAATTCTAAAGAATAATTATTGTTGGGACCCCTGGTGCGCGCCCCCCCTGCCCGCCTAGGCCGCAGCTACATTTTCATCATTTTCGTGAGGAAGCCTCAGGTAAAAGATGTGATCAGATCCGGTTGTTTTGTTGTAATCCGCTTTCCCTTGCAAAAAACACTATAAAATGACATTTCTTGTTCTAATATAATCAAATTTCAAGAATCCCTTGCAAAAGATAAGGTAAAGTGGACATTCGCGCGCGCAAGACGAAATCCTTCCAAAACCTTAGTGTTCGTAGCGATTTTAACATAAAAACATCAAAAAACCAATGGTTTTTCAACAAAAAAATTGTCAAAATCTCATCCCGCGCGCTCTTGCGGATTCGTAGGAAACCCAACACTTTTTAAACATTTCTGTCAAACGGGCTTTTGCGAGCAACTTTTTCGAACTTCTGCAACAACGGTTGCGCACCTGCCAGGGCCATCATCCCTGTCAAATAATACCATGCGGGACACATTCGTTTTTTCTTCGCGCGCGCACGCCGTCGTCGTCGGCCGCGGGGCCCTGAATAGTAGCCACGGTCGTCCGCATGCCACGAAGTGAAGTGTCCGAACGTCATAGGGCGGGAAGCTGGGTGTGGGTGGTGGCGAAGAGTCGTTTGGAAATTTGGTAGAGCTTGAACCGGCCCCCCCACAAAGTGGGGGTATTGCCCGCCTCCTATGAAAACCCTGGCACTGGTGAGAACGGAGTGTCCCCACGTGCTAGTAATTGTTGTTGTTGTTGTTGTTGTTGTTGTTGTTCGTAAGGACGTTACCTGGAGGCCCCGGGGGGGGGCGGGGGAGGGAAACGGGAAACGGGAAACGTGGGGCTCCCTGTGGGGCCAGAGCCACGATCCTCGAGAGGTGTGTGCCGACATGAAGCCTCGGTGGGGCTCCCTGTGGGGCCAGGGCCACGATCCTCGAGAGGGGTGTGCCAAAATGAGGCCTCGGTGGCGCTCCCTGTGGGGCCAGGGCCACGATCTTCGAGAGGGGTGTGCCGAAATGACGCATCGGTGGCGTTTCCTGTTGGGCCAGGGCAACGATCCTCGAGAGGGGTGTGCCGAAATGAGGCCTCGGTGGAGCTCCTTGTGGAGCCAGGGCCACGATCTTTGAGAGGGGTGTACTACTACTACTACTACTACTACTACTACTACTACTACTACTACTACTACTACTACTACTACTACTACTACTACTACTACTCCTACTCCTACTCCTACTCCTACTCCTACTCCTACTCCTACTCCTACTCCTACTCCTACTCCTACTATTACTCCTACTACGACGACGACGACGACGACTACTACTACTGCTTCTACCACTACTACTCCTCCTACTACTACTACTCCTACTACTACTACTACTACTACTACTACTACTACTACTACTACTACGACTACTACTACTACTACTACTACTACTACTACTACTACTACTACTACTACTACTACTACTACTACTACTACTACTACTACTACTACTACTACTACTACTACTACTACTACTACTACTACTACTACTACTACTACTACTACTACTACTACTACTACTACTACTACTACTACTACTACTACTACTACTACTACTACTACTACTACTACCTGTCCGCCCTATGGTTCCTTATGGATTCCGTAGGGTTCCCCATGGATGCCCTAGGGTTCCCTATGGATTCCCTAGGGTTCCCTATGGATTCCCGAGGGTTCCCTATGGATTCCCCAGGGTTCCCTATGGATTCCGTAGGGTTCCCTATGGATGCCCTAGGGTTTCCTATGGATTCCCTAGGGTTCCCTATGGATTCCCCAGGATTCCTTATAAATTCCTTAGGATTCACCATGGATTCCCTAGGGTTCCCTATGGTTGCTGGAGCCTCGCTGGTGCTCCCTCGCGTTTGCGTGGTCGACGCCAGTGCGGAGGTGGAAGGGTCGTACTGGAATCTGTATTCCTAGGTATTATGGAGCCGGAGGGGTTTCCCGTTTCCCGTTTCCCGCCCCCCCCCCCCATGGGGCCTCCAGCTAAGGTCCGTGCAAGAAGGTAGGGACAGCTAGGTAGAATGGGGCCTCCAGGTAGCGTCCTTACCTTGTTGTTGAACATTATTAATTCTAAAGAATAATTATTGTTGGGACCCCTGGTGCACGGCCCCCCTGCGCCGCCTAGGCCGCAGCTACATTTTCATCATTTTCGTGAGGAAGCCTCAGGTAATACGATGTCATCAAGATCCGGTTGTTTTGTTGTAATCCGTTTTCCCTTGCAAAAAACACTATAAAATGACATTTCTTGTTCTAATATAATCAAATTTCAAGAATCCCTTGCAAAAAATAAGGTAAAGTGGACATTCGCGCGCGCAAGACGAAATCCTTCCAAAAGCTTAGTGTTCGGAGCGATTTTAACATAAAAACATCAAAAAACCAATGGTTTTTCAACAAAAAAATGTCAAAATCTCATCCCGCGCTCTCTCTGTCTCTCTCTCTGTCTGCTCTCTGTCTCTCTCTCTGTCTCTCTGTATTATGTATTGTATGGCACAATTGCACCATGCTGGGCACATGCGCGCCCCGAATAAGTGACCAAGTTCTGTGGGTGTGTACCCCACGCCAGTGTAGTAGCCACGGTCGTCCGCACGCCACGAAGTGAAGTGTCCCAACGTCATAGGGCGGGAAGCTGGGTTTGGGTGGTCGCGAAGAGTCGTTTGGATATTTGGTAGAGCTTGTAATGCCCCCCCACGAAGTGGGGGTATTGCCTGGTGTCGTATGAAAACCCTGGCACTGGGGAGAACACCACGCGTTCGGGTAAAATGATTGTTGTTGTTGTTGTTGTTGTTGTTGTTGTTGTTGAAGTTTCATTTCTGAAGAAATATTATTGCTGATCCCCCCCCACAGGTGCATACTGTTTTTTCTGAATCAAAGTGTGCCCCTTGACGCTCGCACCCTGTTTTTTGACAGGGGAAGTCTTCCTGGTCAAACTGGGCCCCGGGGCCCTGGGGTACAACAACAACGGCTCCCGCCTGAGACTTCCTTACAATTTAGCCAGGACCCCCGCTCCCGCCCGAGACTTCCTCGCATTTTATTCAGGAATCGCGCTCTCGCTTGGGACTTCCTTACAATTTATTCAGGAATCGCTCTCCAGGCGCTCTGAAGTCGCGCTCTCGCTGGAGACTGGCTTGCAATTTACTGAAGAATAGCCTTGCGTTGGAATTTCCTGCAATTTGCCCAAGCGCCGCGCTCCCGACCCCCAGGCACCCAGGAGTCGCGCCCGTTGTGGCCCCATGTGCATGCCCTTCGTGGCCCCGCTGTCGCCGTTTGTGGCCCCCTCACTGTCCTACGTGGCCCAGTTGCTACCCCCAGTGGCCTTCTGGGGCCCCGCATTATCTGCACTTCGTGGCCCCCGTTCGTTCGCGCTCACGCATTCCCTCCGTGTCCCCGCTGTCGCCCTTCGTGGCCTACTTCGTGCCCTTCGTGGCCCTGCTGTCGTTCTCTCTCGCTCTCGCTTTCGCTCGTCGTCGTCATCGTCGTCGTCGCCGTCGTCTTCGACGTCGTCGTCGTCGTCGGGCCCGTGTCCTCGAATGGCTCTTGACCCCCTGTCATCTTGTTCCTACTCCTGAGGGGGCGTTGCGACCCGCTGGCACAGTCCCCGAGGCCCACCAGAGGCTTCAGATTGGGGACCGATCACCTCACCAGTCGCACAATGTTGTCGCCCATGAGGAGATCCCCATCTTTCTATTGCAGCAGCTGCGGTTATCTGTGTGCGCGCGAGGGCGGAGCCCTCAGGAACCTCGCAGTGGAATGCCGTCCCCGAACGAAGGACGGCAGGCACAACCTAGCGCAGATTGCCAAAGGCATTTGGCCAGGGAGTTCGAGAGCAGCTGCAGAATTCAACCAGAAGAGAGGCCTTCGCCCCACCAAGGCCAAGGCGAAGGCCCGTCGATAAACACATAACGAGCATTGCTGAGCCGAGGAATCCAAAAAATCGTCGTCGTCGTCGTCGTCGTCGTCATTGGTC